TCCTGCTGTCTGAAACGTGAGCGAGGTTTTCTCTGAGTGATGATGTGGGACACTTCTGATTGTTCAGCAAGCTGCTGTCCGCTCGCTCATGTTGGAGCTGGTGTGCTGATGGCACATGCATTTACTCAAAATCTGATATGGAGTTTAAAAACAATAGTGTTTTTCACAATGTTCGATTCATGAATTATTTCTTGCAGTAGGTTAATGGAGTGTGCCGCGTTCATTTGCAATCGCTCTTGTGTTATCGTCACATCCAAAAAGTCATCAAAAGACAAATAGGAGCAATTGTTCGACTGCTTCTGACGTGCATTTCAACGATTAGATGATACACAACCAGTCTGCTCTTGATAAAACACATCTCTCTTTTAGTCAAAATGCCCGAAGAGTCTAAAAAACAACCATTTTTCTTCACTGATATGTGTCCTGAATAAGAAGTGTTCATTCGTTTACACGCTCTTTCTTCTCTGTGATGGATGTTAAAAAATCACTTTCAAATAAATGGTCTTTGCAAAGTGAGTTCAAAGATGTAATTGAATTAACCGTTAAAAGAAAATTTAGTTTTTACAATAGAAAACAAAAAAATTGAAGAAACTTGAAGACTGTGACATGCTCTGACCCATAAAATAAATATATTTATTTTATATGCATAGTTTGATTTTATAATGTGTAATGTTCATAATGTTACATATTTTCTAGATTTTTGGCATTTTGCATTTTTGGCATTATTGTAATGCAAATAAAAAAAAAAAAAAATAAAGATAAAAAAATAAAATAATAATAATTGTAATGTATCTTCATAGTATTACATATTTTAATACATTTAATTTATAATGAATTAATATTAATATTATTTTATGTTATTCGTTTTATTAATTTATTTTCTATTATTTTAATTTTCATTATATCAATATGTTTTTTTTATCATTTTATCATATATAATTTTTTTTTAATTTTACCATTATTTGTTTTGTGGTGAGTAAAGTACACATCTGAATATTTGGGTTGAAGTGTTCTGGAACAGTGTTGTAAATACAACTTAACCACTGATTTCTAGTCGTGTCATCACGTTGAGAAATGTTTGAGATCTCTGACTTTAGTATCTTGGGCCGTCTGAGCACAGTTTGAGACATTGTTGAGATCTCTCTCCTGAAACTCTAGAGGAGACACATGAGACTACTGGAGTCTTAAGAGAAACATAATTTCTGTTAAATATAAAGGAAACAGACTCCAGTCACTTTGTTTACCAGAATCAATCCAGTAAATATGCATAATAAATATGCATAATAAATAAATAAGCATAAATATCAATATAAGTAAGGCAGTAAACTAAGCCAGTCTCTCTGGTACTGGTTAAACAGCACAGAAAGGCATGAAGAAGCTTTAAAGTGAACAGGTTGATGTTCATATAAAACTCATATCTTTAATGCATAACGCCAAACATCTCATACCTGCGCAGCCATGAATGAAAGATCCATGATGTTCACGTGTGTTTAATTCCTGGACGAAGTGATTCTTCAGTTCCTCACGGGATTTTCACAGCAGAAACGTCTCCAAACGTCCTCCGAGTTCATCCTTACAGATCCATCATGAAACACAGAGATCATGAACAAGTGGAGATGAAGAGAGCAGAAGAGAGAGACAAACACAGTGTTGTAGCTGTGAGAGACTCTCTGTGTGACTCTCTCTCTCTCTCTCTCTCTCTCGCTCTCTCACCCCCCCCCCTCTATTCAATACAATTCAAATAGCTTTATTGGCATGACAAAAATACATTTTGTATTGCCAAAGCATTGAGACAACAAAGAAAATGGTTTAGAACATCTGAACATTTACATTATAACATCTTAACATTTATTTAAATATTATAACTAATGTTATATATAACTAATATGGAAATGTCATATATACACACAGATAGGTATAGGAAAAAAAAACAATACAGAAGTCATGTAGCAACTACTGGACTTTTAATTGTAACGTTATGCACATGTGTAACAGTATTTTACTGCAGTAGTTGTGTGAGAGTGTGTCTATTGGTTGTTTGTTTCTTGATTGTGTTTGTCCCTCAGGTGATGGCACGATGCTACGAATTTTGCAGCAATAATTGCACATTTGGCTTTTTCGCCAAGAATGCAAGTTTTTCGGTTGGGCTACAAATGTTAAATTGGGGAAATATATGATTAATTTCGGGGTAAAAGTGGTCTCTAATGTTTTGGTATTTTGGGCATTTTATAGGTGGACCCCAGACTTCACTACCATATAATGCGATTGGTTCAATTACTGATTTGAAATGTTTGAGCCAGATTTGGATTGGGATGTCCATTTTAATTGATCTTTTTATGGCATAGAAAGCCATTTGAGCTCCTTCACAGCCAAAGTAAAGTTACCAGTTGAGGTAATCTTTAGGCCGAGGTAAGTGCATGTCTTTGTGGTTTCAATGGTTCTGTGTGATAGTGTGAATGTGTGTGCTGGTTCTTGAGGTCTGGAGCGTTTCTGGAAGATCATGACTTTAGTTTTTTGGGGGTTGACTCTCAGGGCCCAGGTCTGACAGTAACCCTCCAGCAGATTCAGGCTGTCCTGAAGCCCTTCTTTAGTGGGCGACAGAAGAACCAGGACATCTGCATAAAGAAGACACTTTATTTGCATGTCATGTAGAGAGAGACCTTAAATGGGAGCATGTTCTAAAGCACTGGCCAATTGGTTTATATAAATGTTGAAGAGGGTGGGGCTTAAACTGCATCCCTGTATCACGTCACTGGGGGAAAATAATTCAGTTTGGTTTCCAATTTTAACAGCACATTGGCTGATTGTGTACATGGATTTGATCAAATCATAGAATTGACCCCCTATGCCACTGTCAATAAGTTTTAGGTATAATCCTTCGTGCCAGATTGAGTCAAATGCTTTCTTGAAATCAGCAAAACAGGCAAAAATTTGACTTTTGTTTTGATGTACATATTTATCAATTAGTGTTTGTAGTGTAAAAATGTGATCAGA